GCAGATTTCACGCTGTGTTTCAGTTTCCCAAAGGCCCCCCTGCCTTTTGCTCTGAGTCTCACCTCCTGCCAGCTCTTGCCAGGAACCTTGCCAAGGGGTGGGAGTTGGTTTATGGCCTGGCTTAACGTGGGGGACTCCTCACCATCATGTTTGCTCTTGTTTCATCCATCCAGCTCTACTCAAGGAGTGGTGGCAGAGTTTCAGTGACAGAGTTTCAGTGACAGAGTTTCAGTGGCTTGCGTGGGATGGAGATTTACGTTGGCTGCGAGGATGGCTCTCAGAGCGAGCCTTTCTCCGCAGGGATGCTGGGGCTGAAGGGCTTTCTCTGTCCCAGTCCCCTTCACTGCTGGACACGAGTTGGATAAAGACTTCAACAACCACCAGCCTTCATGCCCATCTCCTTCTTTCACCTTCTCCACTGAACACCAAGGTCTCAGCACGATGGTTCCCGCAGTGAGCCAGTGCACCCTCCCTCCTCCCAAGGTTCTCCCCGTTCCAACACCCTCATCTCCTGGCTACCTGAGAGCACTGCCCAAACGCCACCTCTCCTTGAGGAATCCCAGCTGAGCCATCACCCTGTGACTGCAGAGGAGCCCAGCGCTGGGATGATGCCCTTCCTTCCCAGCGCCCGTCGGTGCTGGCCGGCACCGAGCCCACCCCGCGCCAGCCGCCGGGTGTTCTTGCCGCTCTGACAGCTGTACGGAAATTGGAAGGCGATGCTGACATGTGTCAACAATAACCAGCGAACAAGCGCCAGCGGCGGCGGCTGTCCCCACCACCTCGAGGAGGCAGGCTGGCCACTCTTGGCTGAAATCACGGCACGTTGCGGCTGGAAGCAGGAGTATTGTTTCAATTATTTCTATTATATAAAGTCAGGCCATTTAATATATTCTGCCTCAAAGGGGCTCAACTAAAGAGATAAAGTAAACACTGGAAAACTGCTCTGCTGACACGGAGCAGGAATTTGGTTTCGACACCAAACCTTCCCTCCCATCTCGCTGCTTGCCTTCCCTTTCCTCCCAGCTCCCTCTCCTCCTCTTGCTGCCCCTCGGCCTTCGGCACCACTTGACGCCAATTCCCTGTCTGGGTTTTGCTCCTGTTTTGGCAGCTGGAGCGCTCCAAAGCTGCGCAGTCGCACCGGCGGCCAGGACCGGAGCGAGCCAGAGGAGCCGTGCTGGAGGGAGGAGAGCCTGAGCTCCAGAGATTGCTCTGGGATAAAGGATTTGATCTGTGGCAAAACTTAAACCTCTTGGGGTGCCACATCCCCCGGGAGCAGCTGGCGTGGCGGGCAGCACAAACCCAGGAATGGCCGGAGCATGGCATGAGGAGGAGGAGCAGGAGGAGAGAAAATTTGCTGTGAGCATACTGCAGGACACCCTTGGCTGACATCAGCAGTGAAGTCAGCCACCTTCACACCTTCCTCCTTGTCTGTGAGAGCTGATGGCATCCCAGCACCGAGAGATCTCACCAGCTCTGTGCCAACACAGAGAGGTGGTGAGATGGGCTGCCGGCAGGCTGGAGCTGCTCCCCGCCAGCTCTGGCCAGGCAAGAGCTGCTTCCCAGTAGATAACTTCCCATGGCATCGGCCCAGCAGAGTTCTCCTCCCTTTCAGGGCTGTGCTCGTCCAGGTATTCCAAACATGTCCACATGTGGGAAGCAGCACCAGCCACACCAGGCTCTGGCACCAGTGGTAAATCTGCCACTTAGCTGTTCCCAGCAGGTCTCCCTGCTCCAAGCTCTGCCTCCCCGGCGCGGGGTCATGGGCAGTGGCACGGCCAGGGAGCCGGGTGGTGGAGGCAGCCGTGTCACAGGATGCAGTGAGGGCTGCAGGGCAGCGTGAGGTGGAGCCGGCATTTCATAAGAGCAGGGAAAGGGCCTCTGCCAAGCTGGCGCAAGAGTGGCTGTGACTTTCCATTCCTGTGGGAAGTGGGCTGCCACCGTCCAAGCATCTGGGCTTGTTATGATGGGAGAGGAATGCCAAGTATTTTTTCCCTTATCCACTACCATCCGCTCAAACCCTCCCCTGATCAAACCCACATTCATCGACTGGGATGCACCAGGGCCCCTGCACTGGAGAATATCCCTCCTGGCCCTCGTGGCTGCTGGGAGCTCATGGCACCTGCAGAGAAACCCCTGCCCTCGTCCACAAGCTCCCTCCATCCCCCTGCCCCTTCCTGTTTCTTTCTTTACTGCCTCGACCAGGAGCATCCCTGCGCCTGCATCTGTGTCCACACCCGTGTACCTGCATTGCTGTATCTGCATCCCTGTGTCACCATCCCTGCGCCTGTATCCCTGTGCCAACATCTGTGTGCCTGCCTCCCTGCACCACTACCCCTGTGCCAGCATCCCTGCTGACCCCTGGACGTGGTGGGACCACGCTGTCCCTTCCAGAGCCCTGAGCATCCCAAAAGCAGCCGCTGGGATGGTGCCACGGGCGTGTGCCCTGGGGCGCTGGCCGTGCCGGGAAGCAGGCGGTGCAGCCTTGGAAGGTCACCAAGATTCTTCCCAAGATGAAAGTGTGCTCAAGTGTCAAACAAACTTTCTGAATTATCTTTCTGGACACTTTCTCCCTTCTGCTTTGGAAGGCGGATGAGGAACATTTCATTCCCTCTGCACTGGCGTGGAGCAGGGCTGCGTGAGGAGCCGGGAGCTGCCAGCAGCACCCGCGGCTCAGCCTCGCTTCTCCCCGGCATCACCCCTGAGTCACTGCGGGTGCTGCCCTGGCACCATCACCAAACGTCTCCCAGCACAACAGAGGGGTGCCAGGCACCCAATTAACCAGGGGACACCACCTCATCCTTGCCCACCACCACTTGGGTTTGTCATAAATAGCCAAACTGAGGGAAATGAGAGGGTTTCTCTGCTCCCTCAGGGACACCTGGCACCCACCAGTGGGGATGTGGCGCTGCTGCCTTTGGAAAATCCCCCATGATCCCACACAGCCAGGGATGGGCTGAGCAATGGCCACATGCTGCCCTAAGGATCCAGCACTAACGACAGCTATCTAATTAGTGCATTCTCCTGCGAGGGGTCACCCTGGCAGGGCTCCTGCTGACATCCGTTTGCCTGTGCCAGCAGCCAGAGAACGTGACCAGGGATGAGGCGCTTCCCTGGCCCTTGACCAGCGTTTGGCTTCCAGGTCTGGACAAGGAAATTCCCTGTTGGCTCCAAGGAAGATGGGCTGGCACCCAGCAGGGCTTGTGGCAGCGCCTTGTCCCGTGGCACCCACGTCACCTCCAGGTCAGAGCCATCCACACCATTGCAGCTGCCTGTAGCTGGGATCTGGAGACACTCATATATCTCCAGTGCCATTCCCATATCCCTGTTTTTCTACACTGGGATGGCAGTACCATGTCCATGCCCACAGAGCCCTCCCCAACCCATGCAGACCACCGATGGTGACGCCGTGCTGCACTTTTGGTTGTTTATGGAAACTTTGGCTGAGCCAGAGGCTGCAAACCTGCATTTTATGTGTAATTTTTCAATTTATTTAATAATTAGAAAAAAAAAAAACCTAAAGTGATTCCAACCATTATTACTTCTGGTTTTCTCTGTTATTACTCCTAGTTTCCTATAACAAGGCCAAAGGGGTCTGAAATGTTTCCTTTGTTGTCTGATCATTAACCTTCAGGAATGAAACACAGCGGTGCCCGATGGGAACGGGAGAGAGAGATGCTCAGGGGAGCTGGGGGAGAGAGGGGGAGAAAGAGGGAGAAATTTGGGGAGTAGGAGAAGAGTAACCCCGATGTGCTGTCCCTGGGCATGGTTGGACACCCCAGGACACTGATGGATGTGTCCCTGTGGGTGACACTGTGTCCCTGTGGGTGGCCCTCCCCAGTGCAATGAGTTTGCTCGTGCTCAGGGGTGCCCAACATGTTTGTCCCTCCCAGGTAAGGCAGACCTGGAGCATCCCGGGTGGGAAGGAGCCCTGCAGCCAGCTGGGATGAGGGATGGACAGGTGGGTGAGCATCTGCCCCAGGGACACCCCTGTGCCCTCTCCAAGGGGAGGAGAGGGGTACCGTGTGCTGGTTTGCATTTGGTGGTGCCAAGGGTGGGTGCGCTGTCATCAGGGCTGTCATCAGGGCTGTCACTGGTGGTCAGTGGCCCTGAAGCCCTGGTCAGGAGGTCACCAGGCTGCTCCAGGGCACAGCTCCTGGTTGGAGCCCCATGTGCCCACATGGCTGGCACATGTGGGCACATGGGGCTCCCAGGATGGGGACCTGCCTCTCTAGGTCACCTTGGGTACCTGGCGAATGGGGTGTCACAGATGAGCCCCTTTCCTCTCCTGTCCTGCATCCCCCTTGGGGGTCGTGCCTCCAGGGTGACTTTTGGGGAGCACAGCATGGGACAAGGGGTGTGGAAAGCCGCGTGGGAGCCAGGAACAGCTCCGTGCAGCCCGGCTCGGCTTGGCACAGCTCGGCTCGGCTCAGCTCCGCTCCCGCAGCTCGGAGGGAGGTGAGTTACGAGGCGCTCGGAAAATCGGAGTCAGCTGCAATCCTGGGGACAGCCGGGGCAGACCCACAGCCGTCGCCGGAGCTGCCGGAGACCCACCAGGGCTCCCAGCGACCGGCCTGCCGGGGGGCTCAGCCGTGCCCGGGGGGCTCAGCCCTGCCCGGGGGCTGCCGCCTGCACCCCCAGCCCTGCCGGGGCCGGGAGCGGGGGGCTGAGCCTGGGGGCTGAGCCGGGGGAGGGGGGGGCTGGCTCAGGTCGCGTCACCCGCCTGGCTCCACCCCCCCCAAAATCGCAGGGGGCTTCGCTGTGACCCCGGCGCTGGGATGGCAGCGGGACAGTCGGACCGCGGCGGGACGGCGGGACAGTTCCCAGCCGAGGTGGTGGCTGGAGCGCTCCGGGGGGATCCAGCCAGGGCGTTTGCCAGTCGCTTTGTTGCTGCTGAGGGATTTTTTTTTTTTAGGATTATTATTATTTTGAAGGGGAGGGTGAGGAGGGGGGGCTGACACTGGCTATAAAGGCAGAGCTCTCCGGAGCAGCCGGCACTTTCCCCGCCACCATGAGAGCTCCCCGGGCCTGACAGCCCCAGCCTGCCCCAGTGTCACCGGCTCATGCTGCTCTGAATCGTGGCTGCGCTCCCCGAGCCCGGGGTGGGATGGTGTGAGCCCGGAGCTGCTCCTCGCCCTCCCACCGCCCCTCACCGGCTCTGGCAGGAGCCGAGCCCGCCAGCCGCTTGGATGATTTGATTCCTTCCCTGCCCGAAATCACTCCTGCCCAGATGCAGTGGATAATATTCATGTTGCTGTTATTCATCAGCTCCATGGAAATGCTCACGCAGAACCGATGGAAGAAGCAAGGTATGGTGCGCGTGGTGGGCTTGTCCCGCTCTGGTACTGTGGGGTGGCTTGGGGACACCAGGCTGTCTGTCCTGCCTGCCCGGAGCAAGCAGGAGCTGTGAACCAGGGCTGGAGGGTGCCAGGAACCAACATTCCCCCAACCCATCCCCTCGGGCCTCATTGGAGACCATCTGTAACGCACTGAGTGTGTGGGGAGTAAAACCTCCTGGAAGGATGCTCAGAGCCCCGGCAGGCACTGACTGTCCCCTGCCTGTCCTTCCCCTGGGTAGAGGCACCAGCCGAGCTGCTGCTCAGTGCCCGGGCAAAGGCAGGGTGTGCTGGGGCTGTGCCGAGGCACATGCACCCTCCGTTGGGCACTGGCTCACGTTGCCTCACTGGGCAGTGCCAGGTAGTGCCAGCCGGCTGAGGAGAGCAAGGTCAGGGCTGGTGCTCAGCTCTGTGCCATGAATGGCTCGGTTTGGGGGCCAGGGTAGGGACAGGAGATGGCAGGACCAGCGCTTGGTGCTGGAGCCCAGGCAGATTTCCTTTAAGTTGTTCCATATTAAAGGCATGTGGTGGCAGTAGGTGTGTGTTAAGATGTGGGTGGCAGGGCTGGCGGCCAAAACACCCTGGATGGGGGAAACAACCTGGCACCAAGAGCGGCTCTGAGTGCCATGGGGCCACTGCTTCAGCTGCTGGTGCTTCAGCTGCTGAGCGGCCCAATGCTCTGGGATGTTCCAGGGCCTCAGGTCCTGGCAGTGCTTGGCAGTCTGGCCATGGCTTCACACCTCAAACATGTTATATCCCCTGGGATAAAGAGCAGAGAAGGGCTGGCACAGTCTCTGGGGCTGGGAGCCATGAGGGATGCTGCAGCACCCCAGAGCCACCCACTGCTACTGGTCTGGTCTGGGCAGCCCAATGCCCCAGAGACTCCATCCAGTGCCTGCAGAGCTCACGGTGGCAGGGCTGGGCTCAGGGTGGGCAGACATGGGGATGTCACACAGATATCCAGCACAGCTCAGGTACCCGCTGTGCCCCCCGCCCAGTGCCCATCCCAGCTCAGCCCTGGGATCTTCCATCGCCGCTGGGCAGGGGGAGAGGAACCCTCTGCTTCTCTCTAATCCCCAGTCCCGTGGTTTTGGCGTGAGCCACGTTCTGTTGAGTGTCACAGCTCTGCGGCGGCTCACGCTGTCGCTCCTGATGGCAAAGGTGTGTGCCATACTGGCAGCCCTGCGGGGTGGAGGAGCTTCTCCCAGCTCCACACCACGGGGCTATTTCCAAAGCCAGTGAGAGGAAGGAGGCCCTGGAGCCCTCCCAGGGCTCCCCACCTTCCCTACTCTGGCTGGGGTGGAAGGAGAGTAGCAAAAGAAAAACATCAAAAAGAATTAGGGAAGGGAAAGAGCCTCGTAAATCCCTGGGTCTCCAGGGAAGCCGCTCCAGCTGCAGCCAGGAACACAAATGTTGTCAGCGTTTGGTAAATATGTAACGGAGACCATAACAACTTAATGGATCCAAGGTGCTTCGTTAGGGCTCCCAACAGACGCAGCTCTAATGAAGGCAGTGCTGCTGCCCCAACCTCTGTGCCCCGGCGAGGGGACTGGGATGAGCCAGCTTGGCAACAACTACATGGCACCGTGGCACCAGGGACTGCCTTGTGCCAGGGTCCAGCACACGGGACTGCCAGTCGACATGTGCCATCATGGTCTGCCAGCATCCTCTGCCAGCATCTCCCCAGCTTCTCCAGCATCATCAACCATTGCTTCCACCAGCCCCTCTGTCCGGGCCCTGTGGCCGTGGGGCCCTTCTGCTGCAACTCCTGGGATCAGAGGGGACCAGTGCCAGGCATCACTGCCAGGGCTGAGCCTCTGTCTGTGCCAGGCAGCACCCAGCAGGTGGAGGGGCTTGGGGCAACCTGGTCTAGTGGCAGGTGTCCCTGCCCATGGTAGGGGGTTGGAACGAGATGAGCTTTAAGGTCCCTTCGAACCCAAAGCATTCTGTGATTCTGTGATTCTATAGAGCCCAGGGCTTGAGCTTGCAATGCCAGGGCTGCTGGTACTGTCACCACTGCTCAACTTTGAAGGCATTGGACACCTGTGTGCAGGAGCTTGGTGGCCCCTTATGGTGATGCCCAGACAGTCCCCAGAGCTCCCAAAGTGTCCCTAAGCTCAGGGTTTAGCTCCCCAGCTCCCAAAATGCCCCTGTGACAGGAGCATCCCTCCAGGCTGCTTTTCTATAGGTGCAGGGAAATGGCTTGGGGAGCAGGAGCAGTTGGTGGTGTCTCCATGGACTAGTGGGTGTTGGGCACCCTGTCCTTGTCCCCCAGGGAGGAGAGACCACCTCAGGGTCAGCTGCCCTCCTGCAGGTCTGGATCATGGGGAAGGCAGCCAGGGAGGCGGCAGAGGCTCTTGAGCAACCAGACATCTTTATCTCGGCTCCTCTTGAGTGCGTCCAAAATGCTCTTTGTCCCCTGACACTTAACAGGCATAAACTGATTAATCCAGGTCCGAGCATATTCCCACCCGCTGACCCACTGGTTGTTTTTTCACTTCCCACGGGCTGGGCACAGCGGGCTGGGGATGGGCCTCAGGCTGACACCCATGGGCAGTGCTGGGCACGAGGGAAACCCTCAGTCTGGACCTCGGGGTGATGGAGGCTGTCAGTGATGCCCAGTGGAGCAATGGCATCTGTGTGTCCCCACACTGCCAGCGCAAGTGGGGAGGGGATTTAGGGAGTGGAGGGAGGTAAGGAGGTGTTTGCAGGGGGACAGGACAGTGCTGTCACCCTGGTGCATCACAGAGGGGCTGCCACGGGGCTGGGACCGTCCCTGGCCCCTCGGCACCTGTGCTGCAGCCAGGCCACAGCCCCTCTCCTCCATTTGGCCCTCCAGCGAGTGCTGGCCTGCTGGAAAACTGCACAGGCTGCATCCTGTGCTCTGAGGACAACGGCTGCATCACCTGCCACCACCGGCTCTTCCTGCTCATCTGGAGGGACGGCATCCGCCAGTACGGGATGTGTGTCCACACTTGCCCGCCCGGCTACTTCGGTGTGCGGGGTCTGGAGGTCAACAGATGCACAAGTACGTCCCGCGCCAGCCGGCGCCCCCCTGCTCCTACCGGTGCCCCCCTGCTCCCCTCGCCGCCCTGCAGGTCCCGGTGCTGTGGGAAGGGCGATGGCTTCGTTTCCTGCAGCATCCCTGGCGGCACGGAGGCACGGATCCAGGGGGCAGCCGGGCTGGGGGGCTTCCTCCCCTTTCCCCTTGCCCGGAGCTGCAGCCAGCACCCCGCAGGTTTTGGGTGCCCTGATGGGGTGCCGGGGCTACCACGTGTCCTGGGCTCTCCCACTGACCGGCCGTCCCTCCTGGCAGAGTGCAGGTCGCCCAGCTGCGAGAGCTGCTTCAGCAGAGACTTCTGCATGAAGTGCAAGGACAAGTTTTACTTGTACAAGGGCCAGTGTTTTCGGCAGTGCCCCCCCAGCACTGCGGCGCAGCCCGGCACCCACGAGTGCCAAGGTAAGCAGCACCCTCACCCCGTGCCCACCATCCCCGGGGTGGCTGGTGCCGCGGGGTCACCGTCCTCCTTCTGCCCCCCTGTCCCCGCAGAGACGTGCGAGCCGGGGCCGTGGAGCGAATGGAGCGCCTGCACCCACGAGAGCCGGACCTGCGGCTGCAAGTGGGGCGTGGAGACGCGGGTGCGGGAGGTGCCGGAGGCTGCCCGGGAGGAGGGGGCTGCCTGCCCCCCGCGGCAGGAGAGCAGGAGGTGCCGCATGAAGAAGCACTGCCCGGGAGGTGAGCGCCGTGTCGGGACTGGGGGCAAGCTTCGTGACACTCCAAAGGGAGCTCCGAGAGGAGCTGCGGGAGCGGGACGGTGGCAGCAGGGGTCTGGCAGTGGCTGGAGAGCCATGCTGTCATCTCCCAGGCATTTTGAGGCTGGTTCTGGGGAAAGCCGCCCGTCTCAGGCACATGTGCTGAGCAGCCCTAGGGCTGGCTGCTCCCACCTGGCAGCCCCTGAGACTGCCTGGGACCGGCCGATGTCCCCTTCCACGCTGGACAGGAACTGCCACGGTGGGATGAGGCTGCCGAGCTCCGGCTCCCATCCTGCCACAGTGTGAAGGGAACAGCGTGGATGGGGCTTTGTGCACTGCAGCTGAGAGTTGGGAGGGTTGAGAGCCACAGGGGAGGTTCCTGCAAAAGCCTCCAAGCCCCAAAAGTACATGGAGCACTTGTGGAGCAGGGGGGTGTGACCCAGGGGAATCTCTGATGGCCCAAGTTTTGGGAGACACCCCAGGGCAGAGTCCTTCTTCATGGTTTATCCATCCAGCTGTTCACTTGTGCTCCTGGGCCTCCCCCTACCCCAGCTCAGAGATCCCCCCACCTCCTGCAGCACCCAGACCTGCAGCGGGCCCGGCCGGGCGGTGCGTGCGCGGGTGCAGGGCTGGCGATGGGAACCGGGACATGGCTGATGTCATTTTTGGATGCAGACGGCTGGACTGAAGCTACCCTAATAAATCTCCACTTAATAACTGGCAGAAAGGGGGATGCATGAGATACCGATCTGCAGGGCCTGGCAGCAGATCTGAGCCGCTGAGGGTTGCGGTTCGGAGCTGCGGGATTGCTCTGTGCCGTGGGAAGCCCCGGCCGGCACCGCCAGCGTGGCAGGGATGAGGGAGGACAGGACTGCGAGGGTGGAGAGAAAAAGGATGGAGAAGGGGGGCAATAGCAGGGGATGTGCGTGCTGGGCTGGGGCCGTGAAGCCAGGAGAGCGGCTTCATCCCAGTGCCATCAATCATAAGTAATATTTTCCTGCTGACAGCACTGAGGAGCTGATTCCCTTCCCCACCCAGGCCCCGACTCACATCTTTGGGGTGCCAGGTGGCATCGATTTTTAGGATGTTCCCCTCCCTGCTGGGCTGTGCCAGCTCTGGACCCGCAGAGCTGGTGACAGTTTGATGCGAGAAGTTTGGCATGGGAGGACAGGCTGCTCCGGAGCACCGTGTCCTGTGGCACCGTGCCCGTGCCTGTGCCCAGCCCTGCCTGGCACACAGCGGGTCCCACTGGTGGGGACTGTGGCACCAGTGTTTTGGGAGCACCCCATTGTGGGAGGTGACTGGGAAGGCAGTGGCACCCCAGAAAAGTGCTTGGCCTCCTGCCTCTGCTCAGGTTTCTGCTCCTGCAAGCTGGGAGCCCTGAGGCTATGGCAATGGTCTCAGGGAAAATGGCAGGACTCTATTCTCGAGGCCACTATCTGTGATCAGCTTCAGAGACAGGTCTGGCCCCTGTCAGAGGGGAACCCGTGTCAGAGGGAATCCCATCAGTGCCCCCAAGCAGCCCCCGCAGGAGAGGGCGGCCCCTCTGTGTGTCCGGCTCCAGGGCAGGCTGCTCGGTGTCCCTGCCGTGGCAGAGCGTGTTCCTGCCCTCGCTCCCAGGCTCCTGCCCGCCCGGCCAAGCGCTGTGTTATGGGATCCAGATGGTGGAGGAGGACGGGGAGTTCACTTGATGCAGCTGAGACACCCCCAGCCCGGGCGAGCCAGGGCAGGCGGCCGGACCTGACCGTGTGATGAGAGATTTGTGCCACCACTTCTGAGCCGTCCGGGTGGCTGGAAGGGAGAAGCCACCGCGCTTGGCTGAGACACAAACCCCTCACACCACTGTAAATCTGCCCTGGGTGTCTGTCCCGCTCTCTCCAGACGCTTGGCGTGCGTGCCGTGCCCTCTCCTTTGTGGGTGGCAACTGTCTGGGAGATCAGAGCTGAAAAACAGCTGGGCAGGACAAGAGCTGGAGCCCTGGAAAGGGATGTGGGACAGCAGTACTGTCACACACAGCACCGGGGATGATCGTGGTCCCTGTGCCCCTTGTGCAGGGGCTGTGTGGGGAGAGCACCACTGGACCCTCCCTACGTCACTCAGATTGGAGCTGATGCAGTCAGGGAAGGAGAGACAGAGCTGCCCAGCTTTTGGGACAACCATTCTGTTCCCCAGCATGGACCCCCCTTCCCTTTGGAGCCCGGGGTTTATCCTGAATCCCTCCATTTTTGGTGTCTCAGCACCAACACCTTGGCCAACTGGAGGGTGTGTGGGGCAGCCCCTTGGAGTGAGCAGAGATTTGGGTCCCTGGAAGGCTGACAGGGGGTTGGCCTTACTGGGATGCATCCAGGCTCCCACTGGCATGTCGGTTGTGCCACCGGGATAGGGAGCCCCCACACACGGAGAGCATTCCTGGGGGGAGCTTTAGCATCTATGCATGGGTGAACCCCAAGGCCACCCCGCTGCCCACCATGCCCAAATCATCACACAGTGTCCACGCCTGGGTCCCATGGGGCAGCATCTTCCCACCTTCCTCTCCAGAGGGAAGGGAGGCACGTTCCTACAGCACAGCTGGGTGTGTCTGTGCCATGCTTTTGGGGTGTTGGTGCAGCCACCGTCCCTCTCCGACATCCCCAGTCCTTGCTCAGAGAGAAGTTGGGGTGTCTCTGGCAGCCCCCACCGTGGCTGAGCTGCCCCAGCCCATTCCTGGGGATTTTGGGGTATCAGGATTTAGAGTCCAATCATGGGAGCTGTGGGGACAACACACTAGTGTCACTCTGCCCATGCCACCAGTACACCCTGACCCCCCACAGACCCACACTGCTGTTTCATGACCCTGAGAGGGCTCTGGGGTCCCAAAAATCAGAAACTGGGTCCAACACAAACCCCTGAGGGAGGATATGGAATCAGCATCCCACAGATGGGGCTCAGGCCGTATCACATTGCCCAACCAACGAATCAGCCCTGCTTTTCTCTTCCTTTTTTCTGTTCCAGAGAAAAACGAGCCCAGAAATAAAAGCAAAAAGCGACAGAAGAAGCCAAAGACAGAACGACATGTGGGTACCTAGCAGGCACCAGCACAGGAGCTGGAGCACCATGGTGGGAGCTCCCAACCAGCTCCTGCCATGGTGCCCTGGCCACATCACCCCTGTTTTTCCATCCACCAAAAAGAAAAAAAAAAAGAAAAAAAAAGAAAAAAATATTGCACAATTTTCTCTGCCCCCTCTTCCCCCTTCCCCCTTTTTCTTTTGAGACAATTTATGGCCTGTAAAACATTTCCTTTTCAGACAATCTAATTTGTAGTGTCCAAAGCAAAGCCCTGGGGCTTGGGGAGGGGGTGGCTCCTTTATTCCTCTGTTTTTCCCTCTCCCCTAGCCTACTCCTTCCTTTCCTCCAGATGGGTGGGATGGGGTTGGACCAAGGGTTTGGACCCTGCTAATGAAGATGATGCCTGCCTGGACCCCATCCCCCAGGGCTGGGAGATGCCCTGTCCCCACAGGGTCCCTATTTTACAGGAGTGCTGGGGGCACAGCACACCACTGAGCTGCTCCAGGTGCTGGATGGGGTCCCCCATCCTCAGCCACAGGCACAGGGAGCAGCAGGACTTCCAGGCTTGAGACCCCAGGGTTGGGACCCTGCTGGGGACCATGTCACTGCTCACAGTAGCCCAACCTGGTGCTCAGCATCCCCACCAGCACAACCATGGGCCAAATCCTGCTGCCCTGGGGCTCGGAGGGCAGCTGGACCCCCCAGACTGGGAACCCTTCTGGGCACCATGCCAGCCCAGCACTCATCATCCCCATGGGCCAAATCCTGCCATCCCCTGGCAGACAGAGAGGCTGGAGCAGCTTCCCTTCTCAGCTGGATGTGGGCACAGGAATTTGGGGTGACCGTGGCCATCTTTGGTCCAGGACAGGGGCACACACAGTGCAAGTGCCAGCCCAGTCAGGGGATGCTGCTGCCCCCTGTGCAGCGGGGCAGCCCCCTCCCAGCCATCCCCGGGGGCACGACCGGGAGGTGCTGAGCCCCGCCGTGCCGTTCTGACCCTCCAAGCCGGCAGCCACGCTGTGTGTGTCCGGAGGCATGGAGGGCTGTATCGGTTTATTTACCATATGTGTGCTCAGATCGCTGCCCCAGCGGCAGGCAGCTCTGCATTTGGGGGTTTGCCGGGGTCCGAGCCCCCATCCATACCTGAGCGTGGGCAGGCGGTGCCCGGGGCTGGCCGCAGTGTGCCGGGGCTGCGGGGGCTGCACAGACCCTTCAGGACGGGAGCGCTGGGTGTCAGCAGCGAGCCAGTCCCGGAGCCGGCGCGAAGCCGCCGGAGCAGCTCCTCGGATCTTTTCATGGCAAATAAATGGATTAACCCCCCGGCATCCTTCCTGCCTCCGTTTTCTTTATTCCCACGAGTTGCTACCGGCGGGGGGACCGGGATGCTGGCTGTGGCCACGGTGGTGCTCCCACATCCCAGCATGGCTCCCCATGGAGGGGTACCCTGCCCTGGTCCCCAGCACCCTGTCCCAGCCCCTCAGCACAATGGGAGTCTGGGGAAAGATTTTATTTTAAGTTTTTATTTAAAGCATCATCAGCAACCCTCTGTGCCCGAGACAGCACTGGAGCAAGCGGCAAGTGTGACACTGGAACTGCCATTCCACAGGGATTGGGAAGCACCAAGGGGCTTTTCTGGCTGGTGGACAGAATTCCCCTCTCTTGTGATGCTCAGGTATCCCCTTGGCAGCCTGTCCCCAACACTGGGACTGTCCCCTCCTGGGGGACACATCCTAGATCTATCCCAGCACGTGGGCTGGCAGGAGTGGTGACCCCCAATTCTGGTGGGAGCCCATCAGCACCTGATGGACCCCCAGCCTGCGAGGTGGGCACCCCAAACCCCATACACAGTCTGGTTGTGTCCTGCCAAGCTCTGCCTGGGACACAGCCTCCCCAGCCTGACCCCGAGGCTGCAGCAGCCAAATCCAGGCCTGACTCCTGCTGGCATTATAAATAGCTGGGACATGGGGAGGGAGCTGTACTCCCGGGCATGGGGGGGGCTGGGGGTGGCAAATCCCAGAGGGGGCTGATTGGGGGGTTTCACTGGGTGCAGGGCCAGAGGGTGCGAGGGTTTGGTGCTGCCATGGTGCTGCCCACCCCGGGAGGTGCAATGAGCTGTGCAGAGAATGTCTGGGGGAGGGAGGGGGGCTGCGTGTGCGAGTGTGTGTGTGTGTGTGTGTTTGTGTGCGAGAGACATTTATAGATCACGTGTGAAACTTGATCTCCCCAGAGTGGGCTCAGAGGAGAGAGAAAAGATAGAAGTATTGTTTTTAAACAGATTTTTCCCTTTGTTTTTCTTTTTTTTTTCTTTTTTTTTTTCTTTTTTTTATTTTCCCTCCCCTCTCCCCCTGCGAGTGCTGGCGATAAAAGGCCGGGTCGGCCAGCGCCGGCTCAGAGGGAGGAAATGCCGAAATCGCCGCGGCTCGACGCGAGCGCCCACTGACCCACGCCGGCACAGAGCAAACTGCCGCTGCACCCCGGCACCGTGGGGACCTCTGTGCCATGTGGGCGCTCAGCCTTGGCCTCGTGGCCTTGACCTGCGCCACGACGGCCCTGTGTGCCACCAGAGCCCAGCGCCAGGCCCTGGACGGGGGCGGGCGCCGGCGCTACCACCGCGTGCAGCACGGCCACTGCAGCTACACCTTCGTGCTGCCCGAGGCTGACCCACTGCCCTGCCCGGCCTCCCCCGGCCCTGCCCCTGGCCCAGCCAACGTGCTGCTGCAGCGGGACTCGCCAGCCAGCACCGCACATGCCGGGCATGGGGCTGCCCAGCGCCTGCAGCACCTCGAGAGGATCCTGGAGAACAGCACCCGGTGGCTGCTGAAGGTAGGATGTGGGGATGTGGGGTGTGGGGGGGACAGGTAGCAGGGTGGTGTGGGCAGGGGTCTGTGTCCAACACACACACATGTAGCATACCCGAGCCACTCCCTGCTCCGGCAGCACAGCTGGAGACATTTGGGACTGTGTCCACCTGAGCGGCCAGGTCAGCTTTTCCCTGCCGTTGTGCAGCTGCCATCAGGTACTGTCTGTGTGGAGGGGATGGGAGCTGCAGATCACTCACCCAGAGCTTGTCCCACTGAGGCTGTATTCGCTGTCCATCCCTGCCACGAGGACTCCTTGTGCTCCTGGCTGGGTTGGCCATGCCAGGCATCTCTTGGAACTCAGCATTCCTTATTCTGGGTCAGAGTACTAGGAAGGGGTTTGGCTGGTGGCAGAGTGAGGGACCTAAGGGCAGAGGCCACCAAAATCTCTCCAGATTCATCATTTTCCCTCTTATGGGTTTTGCCAAAGCTCCCAGCACTCAGTGAGACTTTGTGTGTTACCTGTGGCTCCTGGGTGGCCCTGTGACCCATGGGGGGGGCAGGGTGGGATGCCACACCAGAGGGGCTCTGTACTCAGAGGATTTCCCTCCCCCATCCCCAAAGCCTGAGGCAGGAAGCAGCATTTCCTTTCTGAAGCCCCCATCAGCCAAGCACGGCTGCCTGCGTCAGACCCAGGAATAGCTCATCCCAGGGGACACCTCTTGGGGGGCCCCTAAACCCTCCACCCCATGCCTGAGTGCCTGGGTGCCTGAGCTGATAAGACGGGAAGCGGCTTGTCCCCAGCTGTCACCGACCCAGCAGAGCCACATCCAACGTCCTGTGGTGTCCCACTGGGGTGCAACGGGACCTGTGTGCCTCTGCACCCTCATTTCCTGGGTGATGCCCCAGCTGAGGTGTGTACCGAGCCCCCAAAGCACTCAGGGATGGGGATGGGGCCAACACACTGAGTGGGGGTCCCGGGGGTGGCCTGTGCCAGCCACACTGCTCGGGCAGCCATCCCAGCCGTGGGGGAAAGGGTGGGCAGCAGGGACGTGCAGGGTTGTTCCTTGCCCCATCCTAGAGGACAAATTCCTCAAAAGCTGGGAAAACGCTGAACCATGGCTCTGCTGGAAGCCAGCCCGGGGGGTTGCAGAGGGATCAGCGGGGCCAGTGACAACCCAGTGGCACTGAATCTCCATCACTGTGGGACCTGCTGGCTCTGCTGGGCACACGCAGCCCCGGGGTCCCTGTGCTCTGGTGTCTTTGTGCCCTGTGTGCTCAGCCCTGCTCTGAGCTTCTCCCGGCATGAGGGCAGCCTTTGGGCATGGCTGAGCAAGACAGAGAGCCAGGGGTCCCACCACAGGTGCTCTTGGTCCTGTCCAGAGCAGGCAGCCACAGGCAAAGTGGGGCTGCACATCTGGGCAGTTGTGGCAGCAGTCCCCCAGTGGGGCACTGGGTCCCATCCCATTCTATCCATCCATGCCATCATAAACATCCCACCCTGTCCCATCCCATCCCAAGCATCCATCCCAGCCCGCTCTCTCCCACCCCATCCCACCCCGTCTTGCAGCACAGCTCTCTCCTTTTAGAGGCAGCTTACAGCTACGTTTTTTTCTGTTGTTCCCTGGCTTCCCGAATTTCAGTGGAACTGCCCAGGGAGGCTTGTTTTGGTCGAACTCCAGCCCTGAACAAACAAACCAGGGCTCAAAGGAGGCATCGGGTTCAGGGACAGATCGTAAACAACATCGCATCCCCGTCTGCTCTGCCCTGGCACGGGGAGCCCTGCAGGGTGCCGAGGAATTCGGAGGTCCCCTGAGACCCAGCAGGGCTTCCCAGCAGCCCCAGCACCAACCTCCTCCAGGAACCCCATCCATGGCACTGGGGGGCTGGTCCACCCTCCCCCTGTGCAGCCCCCCGTGGCTGTGGGGGACAGGGACGTGATCAGGACCCAGCACACAAGGACATGTTGGCTGTTCCTGTTTTGGGAGGAATTAATTTTAGTTCAAACACAAACATTTGATGGTGCCACAGGGTCTGGGTGGGCTCAGGGTGGGATGGGGTGCCAAGTAGGGGCAAAGTGGGGCTGTGGCAGGTTGGCAGCTCTGGGGCAGCAGGGGCCGGTGCTGCTCAGCCTGGGATGGGTGCAGGGGTGTGGGCAGCAGGTGGGGGGCTATCCCTCCACTTCTGGCTCTAGGATCCCCCCAGCCGGTGTTTCTGGGGTGTTTAGAAATGCCAGGGCAGGGACAGGTGAGGGACATTGACTGGTGGGGGATGTGGCTGCAAGAAGGTAGCACTGGATCATTCAGCCATGGGCAACAGGATCTTGGCATGGGGACAGAGGGTGACTGGGGTTCCTCCTGCTCCAGGGCAGCTTTTTGGGGTGGCCCACAGCACCACAGTCCCTCCAAGCCACTGTTCTACTCTTACAGTGGAGGAATGAGTCTGGTGGGACCCTCTGAGCCCAGGGGAGCCCTGTGAGGTGAGGGGAGGACAATCCCAGATTCCCTGTCCTCAGCACAGAGCCTTTCCCTCTCTGTGTCCCACTCCAGCTCCCAGGGAGTTGCTGGGGCCGGGATCCAGGGGTCTCTCTCTGGGGCTCTCAGCCCTCGCTGTGCCAGCCTGACCTTTTCCATGGGTATGTTCTGCCCTCAGCTCGCAGATATGTTTATTTAAGAAAAAAAAAAAGCAAAAAAAAAAAGAAAAGCAAGATTGAGAGGGGGGAGAAAAGGCCTCCCCGAGCCCTGTGAAGCAACAAGATTAACGACGTGGTTAAAGGGAAACTCTCCAGCAATCCCTCAGCTCGGGGAAATGTTTTCCAGACGCGGCTCTCCGACCTTTCCCCGCTTCCTCCCCTAGAGCTCATTTCTGCGAAGGAAAATCCCCAGGGAAGCGAGTGCGGGCAACGCCAGCTGGGACACCCAGCCCCGGGACTTTCCTGCCCCCACCACGAGTGCTCATGGTGGGGTGATGGTTTTGCCACTGCCTGGTGCTGGGGAGGAGGGAATGGGGCCCTGCCACCGTCAGTGGGATTTCATCAGGCCAAACAAGTGCAGAGCCCTGTGCCCTGGCCAGCTCCTGGCTGTGCTCCCATGCCGAGCATCCCGGCACCACCGCATTCCCTGCACGGTGCAGAGCATCCCAGCACCGCTGCCTGCTTGCCACGCCGCCCAGGAAGCAGCATCCCAACCCTGGTCCACAACCCCACGAGATGCACG